TAGACAGCTTAATTTTCTCAAAGAGATGTATTCCTGAACATTTAAGATAGATATATCAAAAAATGAAGCAACCATACTTCGTTTCAATTCATTCCATACAAAAAGTAAACAAACAGTTACTGACCCGACCATAGACGTTTTAGTGATAGCCAATAATTTGTACTACCAACTACATACTAGCGGTTTTCCTTACATAACCTATAAAAGCGTATTTAAAATTTCCCAAATCTTAATTTTAACTCCTCCTTCAAATCTTTACATTCTGTTGGCGACATATCGTTTTTATACATATAGATCTTTTTTACTTCTTTTTTATGTAATTTTTATACTTGGAATTAGTTTAGTTTTTTGTATTTTGAATTACATTTTTGTTTCATTGTTTTTTGGTTCGCGGTGAAGTGTATTCTGTGTTTTGAATTTGTGAAGAGAATGCATATTCTATCACTCTTCATTGTCTATGCTAGTATGTAGGTTGCTATGGCTACAGTCTGACTTGTTATTTTTCACTCTTGTCACTCATGTATATACTGTTACATTTAAACTTGCTCTACTTATTAAATATATAATAATATTCATTCATACTTGCATATCCTTTATTATTTATATAACAAAAACTTAAAATGGTAGCAGAGCGTAAAAGGATCCGATATTTTTGAAGTGAAGTGTAAAACTCGCGCAATATAAGACGATGCCGAAAACGACATATCACATCGAACCTTTGGATAAGGATAACTATGATACCTGGGCTATACAAGCTGAAGCCGTGCTAATAAAAAACAAACTTTGGAAGTATGTTACTAACACACTACCTCCAACTCCAAGCAACGATGAACTTGATAGCGACAGAGAGGCTAAGTCTGAACTTATTTTACTGATTGCACCTTCACAGCTAAAGGACATCAAGAAATGCACTTCTGCGAAAGCCCTATGGGACAAATTAAAGGAAATACATGCAAGTAAAGGCCATGCGAGAAATGCTACTCTTCTAAAACGGTTAATACTAACTAAACTTGAAGACAGCAATGTTCGTGAGCACCTGAACAAGTTTATGGGCACAGTAGACAAGTTAGCAGAAATGGATGTAGATATTGACGAGGAACTACTCACTATCCTGATGCTCTACAGTCTTTCCTCTGAATACGAAAACTTTCGTGTAGCCATGGAGTCACGCGACGTTCTACCGAAACCTGAGGAACTTAAAATAAAAATTATTGAAGAGAGTGACGCTCGACACCGTGACGTCGAAGTCAGCCCGCCACCACATGAAGAAGAAAACGCACTCTACGTATCTTGCAAAATCTGTAAGAAATCGGGACGAAAAATCTTTCAGGAGAAGACGCACAAGATTTGCTCTAACTGCTGGAAGAAAAATAAAGCGGCTAAAGGCTCAGAAAATAAAAGTTCCTACTATGCCGAAGATTGCTACCTCACTTCAAACAAAAACAACCAGAACGACTGGATACTTGACAGCGACTGTACCTCTCATATGACGTTTCAACATGAGTACTTCAAAAACTTTAGTACAGTTTCAAGAAAACTTAATTTTGCTTCAGAACAGCACTCTACTGAAATTAAAGGTGAAGGCAGAGTAACACTGAAAACCAATTATCGAGTAATTAATCTCGAAAACACTCTGTACGTACCCTCACTTAGTAAAAATTTACTCTCAGTGCCAAAAATGACAGAACATGGAGCTTCTGTAACTTTTAAAAAAGATAAAGCGTTCGTACGCAACAAGACAGGAGATTTGGTTATGACTGCGGAAAAATATCAAAACAGTGATCTCTACTATGTCAAGTCGCAAACCATCGAACAAAATTACGCAGCTACATTTGAAACAATTTCAAACAGTGCGAAGGAAAACACCTTACTGGAATAGCACAGGAAGCTTGGACATATGAACGACAAAGATCTGCGTCTAGCTCTCAACAAGGAGACTTTGATTGGATTATACTTTGACAAAAAAGAGTCTCTGTCCGACTGTGACGCATGCATTCAAACTAAAATGACTCGCGTATCAAGCCCTCCACAAAGAACAACTCCTAGAACAACTGAACATTTGGAGATTGTCCACAGTGACGTGTGTGGTCCTATCACACCTTCTAATGGAAAGAACCGCTACTTCGTCACTTTTATAGACGATTACAGTAGATATGGACGTGTCTACTTTATAAAAAACAAACCTGAAGTACTAAATCACTTCAAAACATACAAACGAGAAATGGAAACATTTACTGGAAATAAAGTCAAGCACCTGCAAACAGATAACGGCACAGAATATGTCAACGGCAAAATTCAAGCCTATCTTCAGGAAAATGGAATAGTAAGACGCTTATCCGCACCTTATACCCCACACCAGACCGGAATTGCTGAACGCAAAAATCGTACACTGCTGGAGAAAGCTAGAGCAATGCTAATAGACGAGCCATAGAAGCCATAAATACGGCGAACTATTTAACCAATAGAAGCATAAACAGTGCTATAGAAAACAGAACGCCATTTGAAAAATGGGTACCAAGAAAACCGTGCGTCAATCATCTCCAGACTTTTGGAACTAAAGCTTTTGTGCTTATAAAAGGTCGTGCTAAAGGTCCTAAATTTGCAACTAAAGCGATTCCAGGAGTATTTGTTGGGTACTCTGACACAAGCAAAGCATACAGGGTATATGTTCCTACCAAACGCATGATATTTATTTCCAAAGATGTAAGAATTGTCCAGACAAATTTTTACTCAAATACTACCAACAATTTTGACAATCTTACTCACTCTGTTTCGACCACTCTAACAATTGAATTGAACATTGAAGATACTCAAGATCAACGACAAGATACAAATTCAATTCGAATTGTTCCAGATTCCACTCAAGAAATAGGTGTCATTGATCAAGAATATGACACGGAAGATGAACAGCAAGAATTCTACGAAGTTCCTGATCACGATTCTGAACCTGAATCGAACGAACATGAATCTGAACACAAAATTCCACCACATGAGCTGGGGCAATATAATCTGAGAAACATATTATCAGCAATACAGCGACCACAACGGTATGATGACTTTGTACTGGAAGCTATCGCTGAAGTCGAAAACCTACCGAAGGATCCAGAAACTTATAAGCAGCTATGGAATCTCTTTATAAAGATAAATGGCTCAAAGCTATGTTAAGTGAGATAAATTCACTACATGAAAATCAGACATGGGATTTAGTGAATTTGCCTAAAGGAAGAAAGCTTTACCTTGCAAATGGATTTATAAATTGAAAACGAATCCAGACGGTTCAATAGATAAATTTAAAGCAAGGGTAGTTGTTAAAGGCTACTCCCAACAACAAGGCGTGGACTATGACAAGACATTTAGTCCTGTAGCCCGCCTTAGCACAATTCGAGCAATAATAACAATTGCGCTTAAAGAAAATTTAAAGTTGCGACAATTTGACGTAGCAACTGCCTTCCTTAATGGATCAGTCAAAGAAGAAATCTATGTGAAACAGCCTGAAGGGTTTCACGACGGAACCAAACGAGTCTGTAAACTCAAACGCAGCTTATACGGACTGAAACAGGCGCCGTGCTGCTGGAATTCGTGCATAGCCGAGTTTTTACAAGAGGTTGGCTTTCAACAAAGTGAAGCAGATCCCTGCCTATACGTTAGAATTAAAGGACGGTCCAAAGTCTTGATTGGATTATATGTCGATGACGGGCTAGTTGCGCATAATTCAACTGCAGCAGGGGACGAGTTCATAGATGAACTGAAAGCCAGATTTAAAATTACTACCAAACCTGCCTCTTATTTTCTAGGAATGGAAATTAACGTGTGCGACGATCACACTATCACAATTTATCAAAAAGCCTATACAAAGAAAGTGCTACAAAAATACGGCATGACTAATTGAAAGGCAGCACCAACTCCTATAACGAAAGAAAATTATACGGGAGAGGAAGAGGAAGCAAATGGAAAATTTCCTTATAGACAAGCCGTTGGTGCACTGGCATACCTATCAGTGGGCACTAGACCAGATATCTCATACGCTGTAGGTGTTGCGTCTAGGAACCTTGGAGTACCTGAAAGAAAGGATGTTGTACTGGTTAAACGTATATTCAGGTATCTAAAAGGGACACTATACAATGGCCTTACGTTTATGGCGAAGTCACCTCCACATTTAGTTTGCTACAGTGATGCAGACCTGACTGGCGATCAAACAACTGGACGATCGACGCCGGGATACGTTTGCATGTACTCCGGAGCCGCTTTAAGCTGGAGAAGCCAAAGACAAGGGACTGTCTCAATCTCGTCGGCAGAGGCAGAAATAATGGCTGCCAGTGAAACCGCACAAGAAATATTGTGGCTGAATGCCCTATTAAAGGATATAATGTCCTTAGAAAAACCAGTACTCTACTTGGACAATGAATCGGCTGTGAAACTATCTCATAATCCAAAATATGAGTATCACAAACGTACTAAACACATTAAACTCAAGCATCTCTTTGTACGTGAGTGTGTCACCAATGGGGAACTACTAGTGAAACAAGTTCCATCTACAACACAATTGGCAGATATGCTCACTAAGCCATTGTACGGTCCAAGATTGGAAGATTTGAGTGGAAAAATTGGACTTAAAAGAATTTCTAAATAGAATTACCAAATTCTTAAAAGTTCAGAGGGTGTGAAGAGAATGCATATTCTATCACTCTTCATTGTATATGCTGTAGGTTGCTATGGCTACAGTCTGACTTGTTATTTTTCACTCATGTATATACTGTTACATTTAAACTTGCTCTACTTATTAAATATATAATAATATTCATTTATACTTGCATATCCTTTATTATTTACAGAACAAAAACTTAAAAGAATTATTATAAAATTTTCATCAAAATAAGTGTCTTTCCTCCGCCGCTGCCTGCTACTCAGTCCACTGCTCATCCTATCGTTATTATTGGTCCTTTCTCCCGGCAAAACCTATTATCAAATCTTTTCAAAATTCTAAATTCATAATTTCAACTATGGTTAAAACAAGAAGCCAGGCAGCGGCTCCATCGGGAGTTCCCGTCGCTCCAGAATCAACTGTCTCGGCCCGAGGTTCGCATCATTCGAGTGCCTCCCTTCGAGCCCAGCGGCTGCCCATCGAGGCGGCTCACGCCCGGCGCATGGCCGACAGGGAGGCAGATCGTGAGCGCATCATGGCGGACCTCGAGCTGCAAGCAGAGCTCGCGGCCCTGGAGGACACCGGCAGCTCCCAGTATTTTAGAAGTTTGCGAGTAGAAAGGTGGGTGGCGCAATCTAAGAGTGAATGTTCACATGGGTCTCATTCGCAGATGGCTAATGAGCAAACTGGTCGGGACGGTCGTGTCTCGCTTAACGTCGATGGCTCGAAAGCCACGGCGGGCGGATACGTGTCTTCATACGCCCCGACTCCAACCGCGTCAGCGTTGTTGCCAGCTGGTCATATGAGCGTGGCCTCGCCCAGCGCCGTGGGCTCAGAAGCTTCGGCGCGCGAGTACGCGCTTCCCTATGCGCCGGCTCCGTCTGCATCAACATGGATACCAGGCGGTAGTGTGCGCGTGGCCTCGCCCAGCGCCGCCGTGGGTTTATTAGCGCCAGCGCGCAAGTACGCGCTGCCCTGTGCTCCGGCTCCGTGTACGTTAGCGTTGATGCCAGCTAGTCGTACGAGTGTGGTCTCGGCCAGCGCTGTGGGCTCAGTAGCTCCGGCGCGCGAGAACGCGCTTCCCTATACGCCGGCTCCGTCTGCGTCAACGTTAGTATCGGGTGGTCGTATGCGCGTGGCCTCGCCCAACGCCGTGGGCTCACTAAACCCAGCGCGCGAGTACACGCCGCCCTGTGCGCCAGATTCGTGTGCATCAACGGCGGTGCCGGCCACCCGTGTGCGTGTATCCGTGCCCGGAGCTGCCGACTCGATCGCCGCGGCGTGCGAACTCTCACATCCTTTCATACCGACTATGGAGCACCATACCACATAAGCAAATACTCACATTTTAGGCACACATCACTGCATAAATTATAACAAAAATAAAACCAATTTCAATGATTTCGACACTTCACAAAAATCGAGTGACTTCATCAAGCTGGCTGAGGTCATAAGTGACCTCGCCCGCAATGGTCGCCAGGTAAGCTTAGAAATGAAATTGGAAATTGCCTATATTTTCAGGATCGCCCACACATTGGTTAACCTTTAGATCAGCCTACCTAAATTCCAAAAGTACGTTCTCGGCAACTGAAAATATAGGCCGGCTGAATCATGCCCTCCGAGCCGCTCGAAATGCTGTGGTTTCCCTGCTGGCTCTCTCACAAGATCCAGAGGAAATCATAGCGGCTCTAGAGGAGTAGTTTGGCCAGCCAGAGCTTCTCATACGATAGCTCGTGTCAGAAGTGAAGGCCATGCCAAAATTGCTGGCATCACTGGATGGTGGCAGGGAGCTCCACCAGCTTGCCTGTGTGGTACGTAACTGCATCCACACCATTAAGATGACGGATTCGGTGGAGTGCCTGGCCTCTTCAGAGCTGCTGCACAGTGTGCTTTTTAAATTGCTCCATTGTTGCGCGAGAAATGGGTAGATTATGCTTACGCAAATTTCGAGCGAAATTCGTTTAAATTGGATTGCTATCGCGTTTTCTCACGCATTAATCACGGGTCCATTTAAAATTTGGCACTATCGATGACGGTTCGCGTCAAAACACGCATTCCTTGTCTATCGTAGACAAGCCTCTCAGGCGCATGGTCATGGATGCCACTAATGTCAGCGATGACATTAGTGGCATCCATGCGAGTATACATCTCACATCATGCGAGTATACGACCCTCTTGGCTTTTTGTTGCCCGTGATAATTGCCGGGCGTATTCTCTTGGACGAGGAGCTGCCTTAACGAAAGAGGTGACAGGGTTTGCGACTTTGATCGATGTTTCGGAGAAAATCGCCATTCCGCGCCCTTATAAAACGTACTCCCCTCAAGAAAGTCAGCTCCACGTCCTAGCTGATGTTAGGGAGTTTGTTTACGCTTGTGTAGCGCTTGATCTACGAAGATAAGTCTGTTCATACGGCCTTCATAGGTGGAAAGGCACGACTGGCGCCATTAAAACCATTTGGACAAGTGCTATGTAAAGCTCTTCAAAAGTTAAGTTACAATTGCATAACACTCTTTGTAAACGATGTTTGGTCGACTTTTGTTAGAGGTAATGAAACCTCATTTGAGAATACCTGCGTGTATGTGGAGTCGGGTAAAAAAAAGGAAATACTTTGACTCCTATCATTTTCAAAATGTGGAACCAATATAAAATGTATAAGATTTTTGAATAAAATATTTAATAATTACTTCTCGGGCGTGAGTGTTTTCTTTCAGGTTATGGGCTATAAGAAGGCACTAATAAATAAATAAATAACGTAACTAAGCGGTAGAAATTTTGAAATACGAGAAGGTAAGAAGAAGAAGAAGAAGAAAATTCAAAATGGAGTCCTGCAATGTGAAACTTAGAACTAATGGCTCTAATTTTGTGGTCTGGAAATTTCAAATCGAAATATTGTTAAAAGCTAAGCAACTATATTCTAATATTGAAAAAGAAAATGACAATCCGGATGAAAAGTTTCTCGACAAAGATGCAAAAGCACAAGAAATCATTATAAATAGATTAGAGGAGGGAACTATGAACTTGGTCCTATCATGCAAAACGGCATACCAAATGTTTACAAAATTGAAATCTGTTTTTGAGCCTAAAACGAATATAGATACTCATTTACTACAGCAGAAATTTTTCTCTATCAAATATGAAGAAGAAGGTATATGTATGTTTGTCGCAAAGCTCGAGGAAATACGTAACAAACTTGCAGAAAACAAAGAAAATATATCTGAGACTATGATGATAACAAAAATAATAACGTCACTACCTGCGGTCTACAATCATTTTGTCACTGCATGGGAATCAGTACCCCGAGAATATCAAACTTTGAATGAACTCACGTCTAGACTGCTGCTTGAAGAGCACAGATTAAAAGAAAACGTGCCAATGCAAGCGTTAGCAATGCGATCTCATCCTTTGCAATCACGTAAATATAGAGTTTCCGTTACTTGCCAAAAATGCAACCGATCCGGTCATGAAACAAGGTATTGCAAAGCGGGCATAAAATGCCATTATTGTGGAAAGTTTGGCCACTTTGCGAATGAATGTAGATTCAACTTACACAAGTTTGCAAATAGAGGAGGCAACCGAGGTCGTGACAAAGAACACGGATGCACATATAACTGTCAAGCAGCTAACGCATTTGTTGGAACAACGGATAACAACCTAGTTGAGTGGTTTATGGACTCTGGAGCATCAGAACATATGTGTAAAGACAAGGACATGTTCATTGAATTAACTACAGAAAAGAATAAAACTGTTAAAATAGGCGACGGATCAATGCTGTCGATAAAAGGTATTGGGTGTATTAGGTTAGAAGCTTACAATGGTAACCAGTGGATAGAAACCACTATATCAAATGTTTTGTATGTGCCGGATTTAAAGGTAAACTTATTCTCAGTAAGTAGAGCTGTAGATAAAGGGTACAGTACAATTATTGATAGTAAATTGTGTAAAATAATAGATTCTGAAGGGTCTGTTAAGGCTATTGCTGAGCGAAATGGAAATCTGTTTAAAATGATTTTTCGTTTGTATAACCAACCTCCTTCAAGTAATGTTGTTCTTGATTTGATTGACTGGCATGACAGACTAGCACATCAAAATTTGACACAAATCAAAAAATGTACTGTCAGAGCACGGTGTAATTTACAAAAATATTTCAATTGCTGTTTGTGAAAGTTGCTGTGCTGGTAAACAACATAGAGATATCTTTATACGTAGTGAAAATCGTGCAAATTCTCCGTGTGAGTTAGTACATGCCGACCTCTGCGGTCCTATGGAAGTTTCATCTATTGGTGGTTCTAAATATTTTCTTCTGTTCAAAGATGATTACAGTAATTTCAGAAAAGTATATTTCATCAAAAACAAGTACGAAGTTAAAAACTGCATTGACAATTTTATTGCTCTAGTAGAAAAACAGACTGGATACAAATTAAAAATATTAAGGACGGATAACGGAACAGAATTTGTCAACAATGAGGTATGTAAAATGTTGAATAAATATGGAATCGTACATCAAAACTCTATAAGGTACACGCCTCAACAAAACGGTAGGGCTGAACGGGAAATGCGCACAATTGTAGAAGCTGCCAGAACAATGTTGAAAGCAAAGTCAATGACCAAGAGATTTTGGGCAGAAGCTGTGAATACAGCCATTTATGTACTAAATAGAACTGGCCCAAGTCCCGTAAAGAAAAAAACACCGTTTGAACTTTGGACAAACAAATCAGTTGATTTTAATACTTTTCAAGTTTTTGGCAATCGTGTTTCTTTTCACATTCCGAAGGAAATTCGTAAGAAGTGGGACGATAAGAACGCGATTGGAATATTTGTGGGATATGAAGAAAATGTAAAAGGATATCGTGTTTATGTTCCTGAAAAAGACGATGTTATTTTGACCAGGGATATAATTTTGCTGTCAAATACAGATATCGAAGAAACAAAGACGGAACGGCCGAGTTCACGCGTAATTGACTCTACTGATAGTAATAATTGTGAAATTGAGGAAAATGAAAAAGAAGTAGAGGTTGAAAGGATGGAAACAAGAATAAATAATAGTCAACTCGAAACAGTTACCAACGAAGAATCTGTAGAAACAATTGATATCGAGCAAAGTCAACAAAGCGAACAAAGGAGATTGAGAGATCGTAGTAAGATTCGACCACCACAAAGATATGAAGACTCAGAAATGTATAGTGTACTTCATTTTGCCGAAGTATTTGAACCTAAGTCTTATGAAGAAGCAATTAACGGCAATGAAGCTGATAAGTGGATTGATGCAATGGAGAAGGAAATATCATCCCTTGCGGAGAATAACACGTGGACTGTTGTTCCCAAGCCGGCTGATTGCAAGCCAGTTGATACCAAATGGCTTTTTTAAAATAAAGAAAGGCGAAGACGGAAATAAGTTTTTTAAGGCGCGTTTAGTAGCTCGTGGTTTCAAACAAAAAGAATTTGTATCGGCATCCGAAGTTTACTCGCCGGTCGCACAGCTCACAACTTTCAGAATGTTTGTTGCAATAAGTGTGAAATTGGGAATTAAACAGCATCAAATGGACGTCTGTACGGCTTTCCTTAATGGTAAGATAAATGAACTTGTGTATGTGAGTTTGCCTGTGAATTTTAATATAGAAAGTGATAAAGTATGTAAATTAAATCGAGCTCTGTACGGTCTTAAAAAGTCGCCTAAGTATTGGTATGACACATTAGATGACACTTTAAGAAAATATGGTTTTACAGCCAGTAAAAATGATTATTGTTTTTATTATAAAGTGAGTAACAGTATTAAAACTTATTTCCTGGTGTACGTCGATGATTTCCTAATTATGTCGACAGACAATAATGAATTGCTCAATATAAAGAACTATTTACAGAAATGTTTTAAAGTTAAAGATCTAGGTATTGCTAAGTGCTATCTTGGCATAAATGTGTTACAGAACGGTGACCATACAGTTTTAAGCCAAACAGAATATATCGCAGGATTATTACGGAAATTTAACATGCATGAGTGTAAGCCGGTGTCCACACCGATGGACCAAAGTGTAAAACACAGTTTACTGAAATTACATATGTCTGAAAACGAAGCCATCGAAATTAAATGTAGAAAAGCTATCGGTGCAATTATGTATTGTATGTTAGCCACGAGACCAGATTTAGCTAATAGTATGTCAATACTGAGTCGTTACCAATCTTGCGCTTCTGAAGAATTATGGACAGCTATTAAAAGAGTTTTACGTTATTTAAAAGGAACTATGGAGTTAGGGTTAATATTTCATAAAAAATATTCTGATTCTTTTATTGAAGGTTATGTAGATTCAGATTGGGCAGGTGACCTGCTAGACCGTAAGT